CTCTGGCGCGGCGGGCGAGCCCCGCGTCCCCTCCCCGCTCCGCAGCCCTCCCCCGGCGACGCAGTCGGCCTACAGGACTGACCCCTCGTTCGAGGGGAAGCTCCGGGAAGAGCCGCGAAGGAAGAGGGCGCCTCTCCCTCCCCACTCACCCCGCGATGTCACTTGTGGCGGGCGGGGGTTGCTGCCACCCAAACAGCCGCGGTCGCTCCGCAGGCACCCCGCGGCATTTCGCGCAGGCACCGCGGCGATCTCCCCGGTCCTCGCTTCCAAAGGCCGCTTCGGAAGAAAGTGATGTCATGGCTTTAAAACGGCGGGACTCCTCCCTGCATCCTGACCCGCGGCAGCCAATGGGTGCCTGGTCCAAGCTTCCTTGGCGCCAGATGTTTCTCATTTAGCAGCACCGGCGGCGGCGGCGCTCCTCGGGCTGCTCCGGGCCTAGTTGGGCGACAGCAGCTGCACGAAGGCAGCAGCGTTGAGGCTGCTGTGAGAGGAGAAAGCCTTGGCGCGTTGGAAGGGACAGGCAAGCAACTGCGGTGCTTGTTAGCTTTTCCTTTTGCTGCTGCTGGGCTCATTCTGGATCTCCTGTGTCTCCCTCCCAGGGAGGAGCCTTCTCTGGAGTCTTCTTAATTAATTTCTTAAGCCACCAATCTTTCCATTATTATTATTAACCTGCCATGTTATTAATATGGTAATAAGGGACTTGAGTACCAAGCCTTAGGATCAGCTGTTACAAGATTAAAATAAAAGAGTTGAGATTCTAGAGATCACATGTGTCTTCGATGTAGGCTTGCAACTTTTTCTGGGAAATATGGCTGTGTTCATACAATGTGCTCATGCTAACCTAGGTTTAACATGACTTTGCAAATGTATCTAATTATCCTAGTTTGCTCAATATATTGAATTATAAACTAAGCACCAAAACAGGGATTATATATACAATGCACCGAGTCACGAAGTAAGCAACTGCATTTTAGCCCACTAAATTATGCGAAACCCAGCGTTCAAATCCAAACAGTGCCTGGGTTTGTGCACCACGCTAAGCAATAGCTTTTAATAATGATTAAAGATTATTTAGTTTTTATTTAGAATTCACCCTTTGTGCTAAACCCTAATATTTTAAAGCCAGAAGTGTGCAGACTATTATACAGCTTAGTATAATGTGAACATAGCCATTTTGTTAAGACAAAATCCTGCCCCTTCCTCATTAATTTCTTTCTGTGCAACTGCATGCACATATGGGAATACACTGACATCTTGGGTTTATATATTGTGTGAAGTCATGGATTGCTTGGCTGTGGTTTATTAAATAAAACAGCTGTGTTTTTACTGCCTATTATGTAGAAATTATGCTGCAAGTTATAATGTGCCCAGTGTCTCGTGTGAATCCAGCCCTTAAGTCATACAGGAATGTTATGACATTGTCCTATATATTCCAATGATTCTGTTCTAATTATGCCCAAGACTGTTTGCATACATCCACAGCCACGGCTGGAACACAGATAAGGGTTCCAGCTCCTGATAATTCAGCAAACTGGTTTGTTGGGGAACAGCTATCCTGCCCAATGTATCAGCCACATCTGTGGTGGTTGCCCAGGCAATACTTGCCAATCTTTTTCAAGCTGATACTCCCCCCCCCCAAAAAAATCCACACTTGGATCTATCGTCTTCCTTGCCTGCTTTTTGTATTCCCATTTCACCACTTTTATTTGTCTTTATTGGGGGAGGGGTGTATACAAGGGTAACTGAATCAGCTTGGGTTTCGTGACTACTCTAGTCTGGAAGCAATGAGTAAGGTCAAACTGTCCCTTCCTTCTGAGCGTTGGTGATACAGAGACCCAGAATTACGAGTAAACCTATAACCAATGTTGGATAAAAGCTAGGTACACTCCTTTAAGTTCTTCAGGGGGGACCTAACTCCCATAGCTCCCTCCTAGTGCTGTTCATTGCTCAGGGTGGTGGAACCACAAGTAGTTAGGTGAAATATTTCCCCCCAGAAACAACTGCTCAGGTAAAAAGTTTGAGCATCACCAGTGCCCACTTTGGATCTTGCTTGTTTTACTATTCCAAAAAGCAGTTTATATATGTCACTCTCTGGAGGCTCCTTTGGGGTTCACAACAGGCCGTAAGTTTCAGAATATATTGAGTGGGGTGAGGGGGAAAGGAAATAGAGCTTACTGCAGACCAAAAGTCTCAACTTCAACAGATTTTCTCTGTAAACCATGACCAGCTTTGGCTTGCTCACATAAAAGGCTCTGTGCACCAGGACCCTATGATTTTTTTCAGACTGTGGTTACAGCTCTCCTTTCCAGGGGGGAAAGGTGGGGCTTGAGCTCATTCCCTCTGAGGTGAAGCATGTGCATAAGTAATGGTGCCCTGTTGAATCTTTATTAGGATACCATACCTAGGCTGCAAAAGTCCAGATGACCACTAGATGGCAGCCACGATATTGAAGCTTTCACCCGATTCCTACAAATCAAACCCTTGTTAGGGGGACCACCTGTAAAGGTGGGCGCCAGTGTTGGCACCTCTGCTTATTCACCTTAAAGGCATAGCTAGCAAAATAGGAACAACCATAAATATGAGGGGAGAACTGAATACCGCCCAACCCAGGGCAGTAAGAAGGGACCCGTATTGTACTTCCCCAGAATTCTTACATGTTTCTAGGCTTGACTGCAACTGTTTGAGGCTTTGTCATGCTTAGTTGTTTTTGCCATTCAGAGCTTCCATGAACAAGGTCAACAGCAGCCTGGTACTAACAGGAGTTCAGGACTAGATCTCTTTACTGCTGCGGCTCCAATATGACCCTGGCTGGCTTTTTAATAAACGTTACTTCTCTCTGTGCTGGTGCTCTGTAATGCGTTGCCTACTTAAGTTATTGGATGAGATGCAATGGAACTTTCCAGCCTCTACTGTCTCTTTCTCCCCTCTGCTGGCAAACTGTTGTACCTTTTTTGAATGATGCGCTTTTTTGACTATGAGCTTTCCCGTTTCAGGAACCTAGTGTACCTATCACCGCCATACTTAGCAGATTCTTAATTTTTCCTTTTCTCAATCCCTTGGTGTTTATACATCTCTTTAAAGCTCTGCAAGAACTAATGAGAAAATGGAGACCCCCTTATTCTTAAGAGATTAATGGACTATCTCATATACTGGGCTGTTATGGCTTGCTGAATTAAGTCACAATTTATTCCATTCACAAAATATAATTCCCAATAGTACTGGGTCTTGTAGTTGCTTTGCCTCCATTGTTATAATGGTAGTATCATACTTTGTTGACACATGCCAAAAGTGATGGTTAACCACTGCCTGTTTAAATATGCAACCAGCTTACAGCAATAGGATGGGTTCCTTTTTCCTCTCACCTGACCCAATGTTCATTAACATGATGGTGAGAAGATAGTCCACCAAAATTTCAGCCTCTAGGTATCAGTCAGATATTGCTGAATGACAGGACTGGTCACAAAGGCAAAGCATGTGTTGCTAAGTAGAAAGCTTTCTCCATTAGTTTTTCTCAAAGGAGTTAGAAATGCATGTTAAAGCATACACGCAGAAGAGGTAAAGATGAAGCAGCATTTAGGAGTGCTTTGGAAATAAGAGGGAGAAGGATGCACCACCCAGAATGGACAGGGTTAGACTTGAGTGTATATATAGCAGCTAAATATCTATTTTTGAGACACTGATAATAATTTACAGACCAAACATATGCATGCCTCTTTGTGCAGGGACCTAATGCTAGGGAATTACTATAGGCCTGTGTGCAAAATGCTTCAAATTTGAAATGCCTCATTTCAAATTCCAAACAGCCATCTCCGCTGAAACGGTCTATTTCAACCATCCTGGAAATACTTCAAGCTGAAAAGAGAGTGTTTTGAACTTGGAACATTCCCAAAGCAGCCCATTTCAAACTAGACACAACCATTTTGAATTTGAATCAAAACAGTCTGAATGTGAACCATTTTGCACAGTATTAATTTACCTTCAGGAAAGAATATCCAAAGATTTTCAGTCATTTGTAACATTAGCTTCTATTCGAAGGTAGCGGAACAAATATAAATAGTTTCTGGACATGAAGGCACAGAAGCAACACTTTGAGGGAACTCTGCTGATTGAGGGATATGATTTGACATGTCTCAGGTTTGCATCAAATATAAACAAGGAAATTATATTCTTCTGCCTTCTTGAGTCCTTGGGTTCCAATTCAGGATAAATTCTGTATGCTTTCTTTTTCCTGTATCTACTCAGGGGGGCCAAATGATCATTTTTAAATTGGCTCTACAATTTCTTCTCTCTAGAGGGCTTGGCAAAGGAACTAATTACATTCACACAATTAGAAGAGCAAGCTGTAAAATGTATCCAGTATTTTTATTTTTATACTATAGGGGATTTGTACACATTACAATGTAGAGGTGGAAAATTGCTTATACAGGCTTCAGTGCTAAAGGAAAAGAAAGGGGGGAAAATCCAGCTGTGTAGCCATTGCACATTATACATTAACAGGCTAGTATACAGTACAGATAATAAAGAGCTCTGCTTTTAGCATGGCTCAGCCTGTGACCTCAAATACACTCCCAATATTTCAACTGTGGAAAATACTCTAAGCCATTTCCTCTTATCAGAGCCTGTGACTATGAATAAGGCAGAGGCTTTTGCTTTTTGTATTAATTCAGTATTAAGATTTCCTGTGTTTTCTCTCCATTTATACCAGAAGCCAAAAGGCATTCACTGAATGAGATCTGAAAGAAGTCACTCAAACATGCTAAAGCTGCCTTCCACACGGTTTTCTAGACAGACATTAAATCTGGGCAAGATTTAATAGAGAGATGGCAAAACATTGGAAGCCAGAAAGATTTCAAGAACAGCAGATGCTTTATCAGACAGGGAGACGTTAATCTCTTCTCTCAGTTGATAGGGGCTGGTTCTGAATTCCCATTGGTTGCAGGTGGTTCTTTCTTACTGTCCTCCTGCCTTGATCCACTTGTCACAAGATGCTGCATATTCTAGTAGAGATAGACAGTTATAAATGTACTCTATCATTTTCATGATAATACAAACTGTAATCATATTAATACATTATGCCAACTCCAAAAAGTATTAATTTCAACCAGATACCAGTAAGATGGCTTTTCTTTGTGGATGTTATGACAACAAGGAGGATCCACAAATATACAGACAATTTGTATGCAAAATTTGTCTATATTCTAAGGAAGTCAACAAATAAAGCAGCTGAGGAGACATTTCAAAAGAAATTGCCTGAATGTTTATCAACTGAAACTGGCAATTCAAAGCCCTGCACCACCTGCCAGTTCCTAACCCTCCCCATACTACTGACCAGCTGTGGTATTCCCCCCCCCCGCAAACTTTCCCCCAACCCATGTAGTGAGCAGATGGCTAATCCCCTTGACAAACAAAATGTCACAGCCTCAGAGCCAGGCTCCGAGATGTGGGCAGATCAGGTCCCGCCAGGTGCTGCACCTACTGATTCAAACAGCCACTGAATCCAACACTGATACCCTCTCAGGCCCCTCCTCAACCAGCACTGATCCTCTTTACCCAACACAGGTGCCAAGAAGCAGGGCAACACCCACCCCCCAGGCTGGAGAATCCTGCACCCTGTCAAAGTAGGCACCTCATGAGCAACTGGCAAGACACTGACTCTGCAACCAAGCCCTAGCAACTGCTGAGCAGGAAAAGCCTCAGCTGTGCACACTCAGTGGGGAGAGGATTTAAATTGCACAGAGACTGCCTTCTGTTGCTGGAAGTAACTTTGGCATCTGGCTTTGTACTTTGTGAATTCCTGCTCTTGACTCCTGCTTTGTTTTGACCTCAGTGTGTTCCTGACAAAATCTCTGGCTCCTTTCTCAGTACTTTTCAGGCTATTGTATGGTATTTGACTACAGATTGTCTGACTCGGATTATGTCTTCTCCTCAAGCCTCTAATAATCTGGCACACTCTTTCTCCTTCCCCAACTCCTCCTCTATTGCCTTCCCCTGCCTGTCTGCTGCCACCTCTCCAGACAAGCCTTCCTGATGCTTTTACAAGCCTCACTGCAAACACATTGCTCCTAAACACCCCACTCTTTCTGCGGTGCATGTGTATTCCCACCCAGCATCTCAGTAAGCCTCACCCCAAGCACTCACTTCACACCTGCACTTTGCCTGCCAATTTGGAACACCCAATTTGGCTGTTTGTTGAAGCCAGGACATGAAAGAAAACTGGCTCCTCTTTTTCTTTATGGTCCGCCTGTGTATATGGAAAGCCTGGCTGGCTCTTTTCAAGGAAGCCTTTATAGAATAGGCAGCCTCACTGGTTCTAACAATAACACTTGGCAACTAGACTCTCATGAAAAAAAAAATCCACCAGAGAAATCCTCCAAACCCAGCACAGTACCTGCACTGATAGCTCTTGTGGAGGTTCTGACACAAGAGATGTAATTTGTCTGGGAAAAACTCCCCTTCCTGCCTGTGTTGGAAGTCCTTGTCGAGCTATGTCTTCATCTGAGCGCACATTTATGGGAGCTTCAGCCATATTTTTGGTCAGTTGGTTCTCAAGGGCAGCAGAAGCATCAGCGAGAAGGGGAGAAGGAGGACACTGCATACCATCTCCAACAACATCCAAATCCTATCAAAGAGAAAACAAAAGAAGCCCATTTGGGATTGGGGGAACATGGTGCATACCACTGTTTTTCCCCCCTCCCAAAAAATCCTAACTGTAGTTTAATTTTTGTGTGAACACATATCATAGGAAGGCATAAAAAAGTAAGCTTGACAACTTGATTTTTAGGCAGCCTGTCTAGGCTTCATTTCATCTAGAATTGCTGAAATGATAGACACTACAGAAGCAGGCCTTCCTTGTAAGAAAAGACAAATATCCTATCAATACAGCTGAATAGGAAAATCAGGTACCAGCTCTAAAATTTGGATAAAGCAAGATACTGTGGTGATCTTTATCTAAGTCAGTCCTATATTCTGCTAATAGGAATGGGACCTATGCTGATCTTTAACTGATAGTCTTGCTGTCTTAGATAGCGTGCCTCTGTCTCTCTATTAAAAAAAAGTGGGAGTGAAATAGAAGGGGATATCTGTAGATCCAGAGCAGCCAGTATGGTGAGGCAAGACCTTCAAAGTACACAGTTGCCAAGTGTGTCTGCTGATAAGACAGTACTTCATAATCAGATGGATTTTAATAAAAAATATGCTCTCCAGAAGATTTCTGTCAAAAATATATGTGGCTTGTATCTTGGGAGATATTTTTTTTTACTTGATTGGGCAGATGATGGAATATCTGCCTATCAGGACTAATAAGAAGCATTGTATTAAACTAATATAAATGCCCTCTTTGTGGATAGAGTAGAAAAGGGTTTTCTTTTTTAAAAATTTCAAGGTTTATTTATTTATTTATTTAATTTTATTTATCCCTGCCCATCTCCCCCTAATGGGGGACTCTGGGCAGCTCACAACTCATTAAAACAATAAATAAAAATACAATTACATAAAAACTAAAACCTATACAAAACAATTACTAAAAAAGAAAGAGTCCAGGAGGCTGATGGTTCAAAGCAGCAAACCAAACAAACAAACAAACGATACAAATTTTAACAGTCTCATTCTTTAAAGTCATTCTAAAATGCCCAATGTAACCTCTCAAGCCCTAGCCTTTCCCAACAGAATACCATTATAAGTCAAATTACTTCACAAAAAAATTATAATGGGGATAGGAAGTGTGATATTAAGCGGGCTACTCATTGTTCTACAGTATTATTAGAAACACTGACTTTCACTGCCTTTGGGAAATCTAAATAGTATATTCAGAAGAGCCACATGCTACACTCTCTCAAAGAGGAGTCTTAGCAGTCCTCTTCTCCTCCTGTTGGTGTTTTACATGTTGGATGAATAGAAAAATGACTGCTTCATTCTGCAACTCTGATTATCTTACTTCTCTCAATTGTTTACTTCTCTTTCACTTTAAGTCTCTTTTACATCATTGCGTTTGACGTAAGTATGCATCTGCATTTTCCCTATACCCTTTGATGTGTCGCCTCATGCCCAGCTCAAAGAGCATGTGGCCTTCTGCAGTGCCACAGGCGGGTGCTCCGTTGTAAGATACTCACATCGCTGAACTCCAGTGGCAAACTCTCTGTGGGGCGGAGTTCAGCTGCACTCAGGTACAGATCCGTGGAAGCAGCTTCCAGTTCCTCAGGAACACACAGTACCTGCTCAGGAACATACATCTGAGGTGGCAGCCGCAGATGGAGCGGGCAGCAGGGATCTTCGGAAAGGTTTACAGGCACTGGTTTGCTGCAGGGCGCCTCTTCTGACCCTTGGCACAATTTAAATAGAAGTTGATTGGTGTCCTGGCAAATATCTGAAGATGGAGTCAAGGGAATTTTGCAAAATTTGCAATGCATAGTAGGACAAAGTATAAAAAGGCTTTCAAGCAAGTCATCTGACCTTGGAAACATGCAATATGTAAAATGGGGAAGGGGAAATTTACTGATTTTTTCCTTGGAAAATCTTGTGAAAGAAAATACTGGATGTAAATGAGCTTTGTATACTTTAGCATAATCTGTTAACAAATAATGAATACCAAGCTTTGATTCAAAGGTCGGGGTATCATTCTATACTAACAGACTGATTCTGTACTTTAACTTCAAAATAAAAACAGGATTATAAACTGCACAAACAAGTTGAATTTTTAGTAGCAACGTAAGTAGCAGAAAATGTAACATGGTTTCCTGCAAAAAGTCTAAATTTTAAGCTAAACAACAGAATTTAGCTCAGTCCACAAGCATCTGACTAGTAAATACCATAGCATAGTGAAGTTCTGAATAATGTATTTGCTGGCTTAAAAGCCAACATTAAGCCTTTTAGAAGAGCCTTTTTTCATATGTATCCAAACATGAGATGCTGAAGTGATCCAAACAATTTGGCTTTATTTCAGGCTCTGGCTTAACTGTAATTTTGTGAGGTTTTATTGTTGCTTCCAACTGAATTGACTGTTCCAGTTTAATTCTGAAGCTATGGAACAGCCAACAGACCACAGGAAGTCACTTCTTTGGGCTCCTGCTTGAAACCAGAGGCTACAGCAAGCCACTAGCCTTGATTCAGGGCCAAGAAAAGTACAAAGGTGCTAAACTGAGCGGTGAGAAATCTTTGGGCCATATTGGGACATAAATCTAACACTTTGGAAAACTTCTACTTTGAGAATTGGTGGTAAATCATTTTATGGGAAAACTTGGGTGGTAGCTGAGATTATGACTTTAAATCAACTACCATGTAATGATTATTTTAAGGATTTTTCCTAACTTCAAATTAAATTTGATCTTCCCAGTTGGCAACAGTGGAGGTACCTTCAGCTTAAGCATGCTCTCACAGATCAATATGGACCAGATGCTTTGGCTTTCTTGCTTGATATAATCCAGTACAGAAATAAAACCTAGCTGTATCAAAAGTTCTAATTCAAGAAGAATTATTTTTAAAGTGGACATTTCTGGGACACTTCAAACATGGACTAAAGAACTGGAATTTCTAATAAAGCCACAGCAATGGCTTCAGGTCCTTACAATGTTAAAATGGTATCTACAGATTTGAGATTAAAGCTGATTCATAAAAAAATGTATTTAAGGTATACTGGACTCCCCAAATAATGTATTTGAAAGGATGGACATCAGATTTTTTTATGCTGGAGATCTAAGAAATCTGAAGTCTCACTGACCCACAGGATATGATCATGTGATAATTTAGTATCTTTTTGGGATGGTGTATTAATGTATATTAGTAGATTTATGGGGACTTATTTAAATGTTAATTTTGTTGTTGTTATTTAGCAAATTAATATAGCTGCCCATCTCACAAAACATTGACTCTAGGTGGCTTACAAATATAGTAACAATTAAAACCATATAACAATTCAAGAAACATCAAACATAAATAAAAACAAAAATTAAAATTAAAGACACAAAAAACCCCAAGATAGCGGGAGAAAGATAGTCACTTAATCTCATTCAGCCACCTTGCAGGCTTGCCATGGCTGATGGAAGAACCACGTTTTCAGGGCTTTCCGGAAGACTAGCAGGGATCGGGCTAACCTCACCTCAAGGGAATGTTCCAGAGGATGGGGGCTACAGCAGAAAAAGTACACGATGCCTGGGTCCCACCAGATGGAGCTCCTTAAGAGAAGGGACCTGGAACACAGCTCTTCTGCTTGACCTGATGGGATGAGTAGATGTAACCAGGAAGAGACAGTCCCTCAAATAACCTGGCCCCATGCCATGTAGAGCTTTAAAGGGCAAAATCAGCACCTTGAATTGCACCCAGAAACAAACTGCCAGCCAATGGAACTCATGGACAGAGGTGTAATGTGTGCCATCCTAGGGACACTCATAACCGTCTATGCACCAGCTGAAGCTTCTGGATGCTCTTCGGGGGTGGCCCCATGTAGAGCGCATTACAGTGATCCATTCTGGAGGTGACCAGGGCATGAGTACAGCCTCATGGTCCAGGAATGGGCACAGCTAGTGCACAACACAAAGCTATGCAAAGGGCCTCCTGGCCACGACTGCCACCTGCTCAACTAGGAATCAAGAGTCTAGCAGGACCCCCAGGTTGCACACCAGGTCTGTCTGGGGTAATGCAACTCCATCCAGTACTAAAGATGTTGAATCACAAACCAAAGCTTTTGAATTTGACTGTTTATCCAGAATTGTGGTTGTATCAAGCATGGATGGTGGCAAAAGGAATTATATTAAGAAATATTCCAGATGTCAAGGAATGGTTGTTGGAAATGTATGATCTATCTGTTTTGGAAAAGGTGATATTTTCTACCAAAGGATACAGCAATATGTATTACTACGGCAGAGATCCTGTGATATCTTACAATAATACCTTGTATCGTTCATATTAGTGAATTCATTGGTAAACCAGTGACTATTGATAAATATATTTTTCCCCTGCTTAGTTTGTATCCTTAGTTTGTATTTTTAATTTTTTAAAATGTTCTATTTTTTAAAGATTGTTTTGTTACAAAAATAAAGACATTAAATTAAAACAAAACAAAACAAAGGTGTTTAACTGGTCTAATTATGAGAAGTATTAATGCTAACACCAGAGAGAAAAAGGATACGAATAAGGCAATGTCTTGTCATTGGGAGAGACTGGTTGGAACATCGAACATCATCTACAAAGGCCAAACACCTCTGGCTAGAACGGGTAGTGTGTGCCTGGAGAGTACAAAGCAAACACACAATAATTTTCTAGAGAAGCCAGTTTTAATATGAATTATTTCAGTCAGAAATCAGCCTCTGAAATATACACAACATCAACTGCTCCTTATGTGTTTTCATAATCACACAAGACGTTGAACTTATTAGTCAGTATAAAAAACATGCTAAAAAGTGCTTTGTCACAAAGGAGCTTTACTATTCCCAAATTGACGTTACCTTGAAAACACTTGGTTTTGGATTCTGGACATGGCACAGAGCTTGCACATATCTGGAAATCAGAGTTACTTCCATTTTCATGCCCCTACTTTGCTTTCACAGAATAATCAGGCACACAGTTTCTACCACCACTAGGCCTAACAGGCAGAGAAGTGCAGCTAATTCAAGTACCTGCTGGGCAGCACCCTCTGTAGCCAACATTCTGCGTTCCTTCAGCTGCCGATGCAGCAGAGCCTCCACACCGTAGCGCTGTCGATACCGCCTCAAATATTTCAGCCGCTTCAGGTTTTCACGTTCTTTAGCCAGGAGGCCCTCTGGGCCTGTCAGGAGGCTGCTACCTGGAAGACATTAACAATGCATCCTCAATGTGGAATTAAGGTATCATACCCTTCTACTACAGATCAAAAGCAGAGTTCTTCTGGGATTTTACTGATGCTGCTTTGGGAAAGAAACTGCTTTAGCTCAATACTTGATTTGATTATCAGTCCAGAGAAGAAATACAAAATGAACCCCCCAAAAATACATAACTGAACTGCAGGGATGAGCAACCTGAAGCTTCCCTTCACCCCCACATTGTATTGTTGAATTTCAAAGGTGTGATTTTCAGTTTTAGGTCTCCTGCTTCCATTACACCCTTTCCCCTTCCCCACCCCCTGAACCCCAAGGCCTAAAATTGCTCCTTTGGGATCTAACATCAGCCCACTTTGGAAGAATTTTAAGGATGGGAATTGGTCAGATTGGAAGGCTGCCTTGTAGCTCCCAGCCCTTGAAATGCTGTCCATCCCTGTTCAGTAAAACTGCAATGTCCAAAATGTCTTACTACTCTGAGAATCAATGTAGCACTTCACAAGATTTTTAAAAGGTAAGTAAAAGGAACCAAGCTGCAATTTAGAGGAAACACCATCTTCCAGCACTGTTGCCATGGAAGACATTTTGGGCCATGTTTTCAGAACATGTATTTCAAAAATTCTACTCTGTAGTATATAGCAGTAATTCATTAGAACTAATTAAGAGTAACTTTTGAAACAATGAAGAAATGTTTCTTTAGCTAGTCCCATAGGATAACTGGCTGTAGTTACATTTATGGAAAAACTTTCTCTTACAAAATTCATGAAATAACAAACTTTCTGTTAATTATAGGAGCCAAATTTTCTCTTAATGGTCACACCAGATTTCTGAATTCAGACGTATAGTATATGAAGTTTTGCGGCTACGATGCAGTTCTCCTACCTTTAAGAACAGATGGTGCTCAAAATTCTGAATGTTTCTAATTAATCTGAAGATTACTTTAGCAAGTACCACTTGCTGTAAATATTAACAAGCAAGAAAAATCAAGATATATCTACAAAAAGAGTAGTCCCCAAGCACTAAGCTCTTGGTAAACTGCCTCCGATGGCTACTCTAATGAATTTCACACCAGATTTTGTGAAGTCTTTTGCCTATGTTCAGAATTGTAGCCATTTACCTATGGCTTCATGTTCCACCTTCCGGCTGTGCAAATACCGGCGCTTCTTCTCTCTCAGGAGGTGCTGAAGCCGTTTGAACTGATCAATATACAGAGATTGTAGCCGGATCAGTTTTTCCCGCATGATCAGCGCCACCTCCTCAGCCGTATACACACCAGCATGTCTGCACAAACAGGATCCAATCACAACTCATCCTCTCTAATCATTAACATGGAGAATCACCTAAAGCAGTGTCAGGTAACAAAAGTAAGCTATTTAAGAGCAAAGTAATCAATCAGCAAGACCTGTGACCTTTAATAGGGAATGTTTAATGCAAAACATTTTGAAGCCAAAATGCTAACTTGATGAAGTTCAACCCAATCTCCTGAAGTATCCTTAAAAGCTTAGGAGGCTACATCTATAGCTTACAGTACTGCCATAAGTAGAAGTAGTGATCTGAAATATTTTCATACGCTATAAAGGATGAGAAAATATGAGATAGCCTTCACAAATGCATTCTACAAGGCTTGCTCTCAACCACTGTTTACAATTTTCAATCAGTACAAAATGTGGCTGATACATTACCCACTTAGCCTAGCATTTGCGCAACTAAACAGCAACATTCCAAGCTCTGAAAATGAAACAGTAAAGCAGCTAGGATGGCCTCCTGCATCAAAGCTCAACTAACAGCATCCTCTTCACTGTATCATCTTGGTGTGCCAGGTACAGATAGCCAGAACACATGGTGAATTATCACATAAGTGGAATAACTCCACAGGATGCATAGAAATATTTGAAGCTTTATTGGGGCCACAAATAAAGTCACAAATGGGGAAGTTATGGGCTAATATAAATGCCCCAGAAGACAGGGACAGGCCAAGCAAAACATTTAGTTGTAGATTAATGGTCAACCCACTCAAAATATATATTTATGAGTACAAGTAAGACCATTTGGGCATCAAGGGACTTGTGGACAAAGTAGGGCTGGTGAAATTCTACATGCTGTTAACCACAACTTTCAACAATCACAGTCAGTAGGGCCAATGATGGGGGTTGCTACACTTTGTAGTTTAGGAACATCTGAAGGCCCACAAGCCTCCCACCTTCATCAACTATTTTGGTGCTCCTAAAAAGAGAACTAATCCAGATTGTTGTTGGGAAGAACAACCCAAATTGTTTTGGACGAGGAAGGGTTACGCTAACATTTTATTCTTTAACCACCATAAAAACAGCAAGACCTTTGTCCTTGGAAGCTCATATTCAGTGGATGTTCAAATAAAATTTAAATCTTTTGGAAATGAATTCCTATCTCTACTGCACTACTCTGCAGCAGCAGTTCACACAACCTTACTCATGAGACTCACTTTAAGGGATCCTCTTGGTCACTATCAATGCTATCTGCTTCACTGTCAGGGTCACCTCTCCATGTCTGATCCACAGTGAGAGGCTCCTGCTCTCCATCACTCCAGCTGTCTTCATCTGGAAAAACAAAAGAGGAAAAGAAAAGTATGTTGACAGTCTACATCCTTTAGTGAAATTAGTATGACATCAAGAATAGAAATCAAAACAGAGCTACCAGGAGTGAAAACCTCATTTGAACATGCACTTCCATAAGCTGATATAAGTATGCCCATCAATTAGTCGAAGGGGATATCCATAAAATGCTCATTTAATCATAAAAGCCTGCACTAAAACTAACAATGAGAGCATCATCAGAAAACTCCACTTTCCTGTTTACTACTGTAATTACATGCAAGACCAATACATCCATAACCTAGCCTTGATTTGGCAAGGAAACGAGCCAAGCACCATCATCAGCATATTTATTTGGTCATCACATTTGGCAGAAGGAAAAGATTTTTATGTGATTGAGGGTTTTTAAAGTGTAAAACCATAAAGACAGTTCACAAATTACAACCACTTCCACAGTTTTCAAATCTAGTTTTAACTATTCAGCAATAATATATGTACAGGGTATGTCTGAGGACTTTATCAACTTAGTATTGTAAATCTCTTCCATTCTTCATCCAATTACCTGTCCACTAATCAATCCCCAGCTTCATTATTTTCTGCATAGCTAGGCAACTAGCTTTCTCCCTGCAAATGAGAAATATAATTGTACTTGAGGCCCCATCAGCGAAAAAGCTCAAGCTTGAGAAAAGATGCACCAGTGGATATACGGTACAATGAGCAATCTTTTTTCTGCTCAGGCCTGCAACTGATGGGACCAGAACTGGATATCCATTTTCTTTCTGGTACCCCTCTACTTTTTCTTAAGACAACAGTTTCTCCCTCTCAAGTAGGGGAGTGACAGCAAGTTCTTTTTAGAAGACTGAGCTGACCTGTTGCAGAGAACTCTCAAATTAAGACGGAGGTTTCCATAAAATCAAGCTAAAGGCACAGGATGCCAACCCATGATACAGGACATTCCTTATCTTTCATAGCAAATTCAGCAAAATATATTTGTTGAGTGTTCTGATTACTCTGCATATGTTTTATAGGATTAATTAGTAATCGCATGTGGTAAATCTAACTTCCCTCTATAGCAATACCTAAATTAAACAATATAAACAAAATGACAAACGTGCACCCCAAAAATATTTAGCCCTATGACCAGCCAATTTCTGAATGCATTGAATCAATGTCCTTTGCCAAAATACAAATTTGTGAGTTCCCAAGAAGATGATTGAGCTGAACCTATTATTAAAAAAGAATAAAGGGAAGCACAAATGCATGTAATTAAAAGCATTTTAACCCAGTACTGAACATTATCTGCTTCCATCTTTTCTCTGGGTTGCTTTGTTTTAAACTACATATTGAAAGAGGTTTGTTAGAGTATGACCAAGCAATATAAAATTCAACCTTTGCATCTTTTTTTAATAAAAAGAAAGAAAAAATGCCCAAAATGACATTATTACCTCGTCTACTTACCCAATATTCTGCTGCCTTCACTACGGTTATTTTCCGCAGGTTGTGAACCCTGCTCCGTCTTGGCATAGGAACTCAGCTGACAGAGAAGAGACTCTCTCACAGGGCTAGGATTAGACTTCTTCATCTGAGCCTGTAAGGCCAACACATTTCTGCGAGCATGTTCAGCACAGAATGACACACTAGGTAGAGAGGCAAAACAGCAAGTTATGCATTTTAACTTCCAAAATACCTAACAAGGAAACACTTGGCTTCCATGTTATTTAAAGCAACACGTAGCAATAAATTTTAAAAATCTTCACAGATTTACTAAATCTTCTTGGGGAAGTTATGTATATTTTAGGTGGAACAGAACTGAACATACCTGGAAGTTGCCCAGTTTGGGAGACACTGCCCTAACCACTCCTGCTGACATGCTCATCTCATTCCCTCTTTCTTTGCTTCCTTCTCCCACTGGGCTAGACTGCCTTCACCTCAGTCTCATCTGTGTCTTTCTCCTTAATGAGATCTAAATTCTTCCCAAATCAGTTATAGCTCTCAGCCAGGTTCCCTGCTACTGCCCTTTTCCCTTTAACAGAAAAAGATTTTTACTTTAAAGTATATAGTCTTTTATACTATAAAGTAGTGTAGTACTATTCTGGTAGTATTACTGTACTTCCACAATGGTAATATATGGCTTTATTATATATAAAAAAACAAATTAATAGCATGTTTAAAAATGTTTTTAAACCTCCATAAAGTTATATTTTAAAGATGATAATGGGATCTATCTTTTTCTTCCCTTTTTTCAGGGCAGCTTCAAAATGAAGCATAGGCCTATAGCCATCTGCTACCCTTACTTATCCTTTTTTTCTTTGGGTCTACATGTACTCTCAAAGCCTTCAGGAGAACCAAAATGGAATTTCAGTGGAAGCCACCACTTCACTCTAAAACATTTCTTTAACATCCTTTAAGGTTGTCAGCAAGCAAACCTTAAGCAGTCTTTTACCTTGTAGGCCAAGGGCAAGGACTCCATAATGGCACTAGTGCATTTAATAGGTCATGTTTAAACAAAACGCTCAGAAGAATGTGTGTAATGTAGAATTATGATTACTTTAAACATTGAAGCAGATGATTCTGATGTTGTCCTCTAGCATTTGGAAGAAAGGAGCCAAAATGAAGTGAACCACTATATGGTACAAATTAGAAATGGAACTGTAAAACAATGCTTTCCAAGTTGCTTAGCATACTTTTCTCCAAAACAAAAAGGATATACACTCTTCTTATAGTAGCCTTCCCTAACTGGGTGCCCTTTAGATGTCTTGGGGCTGTAACTTTCAAAATGATTGTCTATCTTGCCAGTCCCAACACATCTAGAGGTCTCCAGGTTGGATTACTAATAGACTAACAAGCTCTGATTCACAAGGAACACACATTATACTTCAGCTCCATGTGTTCAAGGCTCCAGTCCTATCCTCTTCTAAGAAAGCTGCAAACTCAGAAATCTATACAGTACTTGCATATTCAACTGAATTTGTGCTACCTGAAATTGAGACAAGTGTGTGCCTTTCTAGACACTACTGACTGGGATTTTCCTTCACAATGACCATGCAGGTGTGGACTGACAGGAACTGGAGTTCAACAACATCTAGAAACCACATATTGCCTCTGGCTACCATAAACCTTTATCAACTATAAACAGGTGTCTAAATTCAGACAATACGATCTAGTTCATACATAATATATTAATTCTAAAGTAGTTCAAACATGACCAAAAAACCCATTCCATTATTGTTAACATTGTGTTAGACTAGTAAAGTTTAAAACAAATAATGACTTAATGAAATGTGTTAACTATTAGTTAAAAATAGAAATGGATGTTTCTGGTTTAGTCCTCATGACTATAGAGCGAATAAAAGGGGAAAGAATAATGCATAAACAAAGGCTTGTGACCTTGTGAATTTAATGCCAAACAAGTTACAGACACAGCCAGAAGTATTGGGATCTCTCCATTTTTTCCCAAAGAATCCCAATTTGCTGTGAAATAAGCTGAAACTGGCACAAGTAAATGGCATCCACCAGCTTTTATTCCATAGTCCACAGAGCACACAACACTTTGCTTTTGTTCTGAGCCAGGAACAAACCACCATATTCCAGAGGTTCTCAGCCCAACCTACCTAACATGGCTGTTGTCAGGAAAAACAGGAGGGAACTCTGTGTATGCTGCCTTGAATTCCTGTACAAAAGGCAGGATATAAATTTAACCTAATAATTTAAATAAATGCTCCTGTATTTTTCCTAATTATTATTTCATCTAAGTCTATATAATTAATTTTGTGTTGTAAACAAGATGGTTTAGGACTGCAGAACGAATGTCAATTCAACTCTCAGCCCTTAAAGGTAGGCCATGTCAGGAAACAGACTTCTCAAGAACGACTGGAACTCTACTCTATTGATTTGTCTATAGCAAGAGAATCTTGAAACCCTGACTGCATGTTCCCTTTCCTCCCTCTTATACCCCAGGAAGTTAAGGCAGAGCCAGTTTAATTTTCTTTCTAATGTTTTCTTCGTTTTCCAGGCTTAAAACAGATTTGTAACAGTCACTGCATACTTTCTCCAAGGTCATCTTTGTAGTTCTCCACAGCAATCCAATCAAAGGCTTTGTATAAATAGAGATTGAAGTTTTAAGTGATGTTTAATAATTTACAATTGGGTAGAAATACTTCTTTTACAAATAACTCTAGCTTATATAAATGTGTTATTTTGTGTAACGTTAATTTTAATCAGTTAACCATTAATTTTGTATCTATCTTTAAGTCTGTGATTAGCATTGAGCTAGAACTATAAGACAAACTTGACTGTGGATGTTTTGGAGGGAGTGTATGCAAGAAGCACAACTATCCAGCCATCTCAAAATTTGTCCTGGGTATGTGACCAATCTGCCAATCCTTATTTCATCAACAGATGTTCTGGAATTATTTGAGAACTCTAAAATGTTAAAATTTTCTTTAGAACAAAGAAAGTTGTCTCACATTAAGTACAGTCATTGGTTCATCTACTTCAGTACCATATATACTGACTGGCAGTGTTTCTCAAGAGACTTCCCCACCTTCATCCTTCCCCAAATTTCCTTGGAGATGCCCGACCGTACCTGAAAACTTTTTGTATACTTTAACATGCAACTCTTTCCAGTTTATGTTCTGCAAAAAAGTCTGTGAACACAATACAAATGGTTGACACCTAGTCTTATCACAGGATAATATAACTGCATGAACGCAATTTTAAGATATTCCACAATTATTCTATACATATAATAGACTATTATTTTCATTAGACGTATATTACAAGAAGCGATCTATGATCTGTTCCAAAGCCTCAGGAGGAGAGAAGACAAAACTTCAGCTCATCTCTAGAGATAATGTGAACATACAGAATCCATACCCATCTTTCTTCTCAGGCTTGGGAGCTGCATTTGGGCACCTCCTCCCATTCTTAGTAGAAATATAGCTGCACTGCTTGAAGGGTGCATTCCTGTCTTCAAGGATGTGCTTAATGCAGAACTCGAGTCCCTCCAAACGAGGCTGAGAGCATGGACGGTGAGCAAAGGCACAGGACAAGGTTTCTTGCAGCCTTGGCACAGGAGTGAGCTGCCCCCGACTTGAAGGCAAAACATGGATGCGAATTCTGTTCATGCCAATGTCTGTAAGGAACATTTTACTACCGATTTGACATAAGTAAGAGTCACTTCTACCATTATAAAATCCATTTCTTCCCCCAAGGTTATTTCATTTTCTCCTAACTATTAAACTTTCATCTTGATCAACCTTGAGCCACTGCGGATTCTATATCTCAAGTTTGTACCAGCTACTGGCAATCCGTGGATTTACTTTTTTTTTTTTTTAATCCGCACTCAATCGTTACCGATTCTACAATCCATACCAACCGGACCAGAGAACGAACTTCAGATCTGGAATGGCAAGAAATGTAAATTTCTTGCGACGACCCTTTTCTCTTCTTCTGTCCCAGTTCCTCAACTGGCTAGGCTAGGTTCCTTTTTTTCCCCTCGCTATTAACCCAGATTTTTTTTTAACCGCTGCAGCTCCTGTAACTAAATAATATCGGAGAGAGGATTTTTATAGAAAGGCGAGGACCGTGGAACGCCAGGGGGAAACGATGGAGATTCTTCCTAATCGTAACGTATTAAACTTCATACAAAACGTGTTTGCTCCTCACTCTAAAAGAGATTAAAAGTCCCTCCCCCACCGCCCCCTTTTCTTTTTCTTTCTTCGAGGAGTTTCGCTCAATTCAAACGCGCGGGCGCGAAGCCTCCCCCAACCCCGTCGAGAAGGCACTCCTCACCCCCCTCAGGGGACTCTGCTCCCTCGGACACACACGATTCCCCCACGCCTACTGCTTCTTTTTCCGCGGAGCCGTTTAGCGAAAGCGCGAGGAAAGGCCCGCTCGGAAAAAAATGCCCCAAAGCCGCCCTCACCTCTTTGGTCATCGCGGCGGCGGCCGCCATCTTACCTTCCTCCTCGCGCTCTGAGTCCCACCAGGGCCTCGAGCTCGCTATCGCCAGCCAATCCGGATATGACGTAACGAGAACGGGATTGGGTAAAGGAAGCGTCATTCGAACCGATTTCGGGGCGGAGGAAGGCGGTCGGAACCGCCCTGGGTTCCTCATTAGGAAAGCATTGGAAGGCACTGGGACGCTGGCTTTTAACAGTTCGTTCTTTTAATGATATTGATTTAAATGACTGGACTGTTTCATGGCTTGCGTCTTATTTCATTGCAGTAAGCTGCCTTGAGGGCTAGTATAAACAAAGTATTATAATATTAAATAGACTTTATATTAAATATTAAATAGACCAGCTTTAAGCAACTAAATTTGGTATTCCACTCAGGCAGGACAGAATTTTACGATACAGGAAGTTAGGATTCCATCTCATGAAGATGGAACTGCTGGAATACGTGTAAGATACTATAAGATACGTGTAAGATGAATGCAAAATCCATGGCTGCGCACCACCTTTGCCAGGACTAACTCAAACATTAAAAACAAAAACTTTGTAAATTTTCCAGTCCCCTGGAGATATTGTTCCATTGTCACACCACTCCTAACATTGGGAAGATTGTTGTATTTAATAGAAATTTGCCTTCCTATATTTTAAGCCCATTATTCCATACCCTGCACGTTATGGCAATAGAGAACAAGTTGTGATTTTCCAAGTGTTCTTGTAAGGCTCCATCTTTCTCTTTCACCTCCCAAAGTCAGAAGGCATTCAGTTCCTTCAATTTTTCATTGCCTTTCAATTGTGTTACCACAGTATCATCCGTTCTTAATCTTCAACCAGTATAGGCCACTGTTGGAGTACATCATCATGCAGATAATACAAATGTATCAACCTCTTCATTCCCCTTCTCCAGTTATTCTAGGTAAAATTGTAAATCAGTTTCCTTTCACTTTATTCCAGGTTGTTATGATTGCTTATCCTGTTCATTTATCTAAATTGCATTTCCACAAGTTAAAAAAAAAAAGTTCTTCAGCCAACTACTGTTGATGTTTGGAGTGCTATGTGCCTGGCTTTACCAGCACAGATCTAACCTGCTCTTGTAGCCTCATGCAGTGTGAAAACCACTTGGAGAAAAGGGATTAAAAGGAACATATCTTAAGATACAGTATTCCCATAATACAAAATTAGGGGAAACATGGAAAGGAGTTGCAGCAATTGAGATTTACAATAGCTTTCTTATTTCTTTGCTTAACTGTGCAGGATTGGATGATTACCTCATCCTTAGTTTCATTTTCTTTGGGGAGTTTTGCTGAATTCCCAAAGCCAGTTAGTTACAAGTCCTTTATGAACTTGGGAGACACATTTTTCCAAAGTACACTCTTTTTGAAAAATACTTCCTAGTGCAAAGTGTCCTTTTGACAACTTTTGCAGACCACTAATGTTCATCCCTGTGAGTTCCAGATGTGCACTAATCAAGGCCACATAGATAATGAACCATATAATGCATGTTTCCATCCCAATGTGATATTACTGTGTAGGATTTATACAGTAAGGACTGCAGACTATGCCTGGGTATTACCCTGTCCAATATATTCCTGACCGGTACAAATCTTCTCAATCGTCTGAATTACCACCCCGTTCAGAAAGGCTTATGAAAAATGAACAATATTGAAGGCTATGTATTCTGCAACCTAGTTAGGAAGGAGCAAAGAGCGCCAGAAAATGATAGGCAGAGTAAGTTCAGTTACCTGGAAATCTGAGGTTAATTTAAAACTCTTTTGGAATTAATATATGGTATACTGGGTGTAGGCTTTCATGGCTGGTATCTGTTGGGCTTCAGGGTTTAGTGACTGTAGTCTAGAGAACAGATTCCCTGACATTTCACCAGCAATGTGAAATGTGGCTGGCATCTTCAGAGGCAAAGCGGCCTGCTGTGCAGGCCTATCAGAAGTCAGGACACCTGGTTATAAAGACAGGAGCTGTCAGTCCCTGCTCAGTTGCATGAGGTCTGCGCAGCACTTTGCCTCTGAAGATGCCAGCGAAGCATCTAGACCACGGCCGCTAAACCCTGAAGTCCAACACTGCCCAATGCATGGTATGTTTGAAAGGCATCAACAATGCCTGCTGAAAAGTCAAGCCAGAAATGGCTGATAAAATCTATACAGAGGAACTTGAGTGCTTTGTAAAATTGTCCAGTCAAATCCCTTTCAAAACCAGAATGCAATTTTGGAATTAGCCAGCCAGCATAACCAATGTTTGGGAATTCTAAGAATGCAGACCAAAACAAAGACAGTTCCAAGTTAGGGAAACTGTTTTTCCTTGCAGGCCAGTTTGGATTACATGGACACTGAATTTTATTTTAGGATTAAACAGACCGAAGCCTAACAGTTGCTCAACTCCAAATGTAGAAAGAAGTTGGCTCTATTTCCTCAAAATTTGCTGCTGCTTTTCAACTTATTAGTGTGACTGAGAAAGCTCCCTTTGCACTTTTCTTTCTGCACACACACTTTGTTTTCACATGTCCATTATAAATTTGCATACTGTACCATTAATAGCTATAAACATTGTAGTTATATGCATGTGGTTACCCACACAATATACAAATCATGGATTACTGAGCATGAAGTTTCAAACAAGCCTAGAAAATCCCAGCTGCATGGAAACAATAGCTTCTTTTTAAACTTAAGGACCAAGAGGTGATTGGCACAATTCAGCATATGTTACTCTTCTGTAACTGCCATATTCATTTCCATGGATAACAGAGGAACTTCTAGTAAACCCACTAAATGCAGGATTACTAGTGCATCAAGATAGTAACCTGCAGTTTACAACTGACAAATTATGATCTAAAAACTTTAAGAAAACAGACTTTGTTTTAATCACACGTTATTTTTCCTTTCCTACTCATTTGCATTTTTTGCTCACAACCAGTCCAAGCTTCATAAAATAGATAATTATACTACAGCTGTTTAAAAAAAAACCTGTTAATTGCTATTGCTTGCTTTTTTCCTTTCTTGGTCTACCATGAGATGACAACTGGGAATTTTAAAAGTTGAACAAAGGATACATCCCAGTGTAAATAAATTTAACAGAAAAGAAACAAGGAAGCTATCTAGAGCTAGAATTATGCTGTTACTGTCCCAAATACTTTTGTATGGACTTTTCCTGATAAACTCAAATATTAGTAAGAATTTTCACAAAGAACAAACTAAATGCGGAGACAGTACATTTATTGAAACTTAGAATAGTAATAAAATGAGCTGGGAATTAGAAACAGTTTCTGAAACATTACACAAAACTAGGCCAAAGTTTGCATCAATAGCTGAGACACCATTGCTTCAGAAATCCAAAGGTGGTGGGAAAATAATTATTCCAAATTCAGAGAAAATACTTCGGCAAAAACAAGCAGATGAGTGTTGTTTCAAACATGATGCATCCTCTGAAATCAGCAGCAATTAACTTCACTCACATGACATTATAGAGGCCACTGCTAGTCTTGTCTGTTCACTTCTAGTTGCTACTGAACATACTGGAAGAGGCCTCTATTGATATATATTAGAGTATTCCATTTTGGATAATAAAGAAGCCCCCTTTTTAAATCGCAGAGTCCCTTATATTTCAATTTGGAATTCAGTTCAGAATAGTAGGAATACCCTGAAATGATTTGTGGAACAAGGGAACTATACTTAAAAGACAATAAAGTTGAGATTTAAGACCACCTACTCCAAGTACTTTGTTCAAATGCTGTATTACAAACCAAGGCTGATTTTGTAGAATTAAAATATTCTTATATGATCTACAGAAACATAATATATGACCATGTTTAAATACTAGACCCATTTTTTAGCATACTATTGGAGAACTAGTTCAGAATGTTATACCAACATTCAAACCAATTCAAGGGACATTCAAACTGGCTATTTTTGTATTGTTGATAGACGTCTTTAAATTAACAGGAGGTCTTCATCCTACTTTATCCAACTTTCTTCCCTCTAGTCTAGAGACAGAAAAATTAGACCTTCTCGATATTAGCAAGCTATAATTTCCAGGAGCCATTCCACCATGGAAAATTGTGAGGGATACTGGAAAATGTAACTTAATATCTGGAAGGCCATAGGCTCTCCATCTCTGTTCTATCCTGTTGTCCAAATCTGCCTGATTCAATTTGTTGCCATCTTTATATCTTTTTTTTTAACAAAATGTGAAAATCTCATATCCCATAATGCAGTTAAAATATAATTTAAAGCATTTCAGAATCACGATTACTGCTCTCATGCTCATAGGCTTTCTGCCTCTTCCAGCTCTTCCTCCTCTGCTGAAACACCTATTTTCCCAAACTATACTACTGCAGCATTCTCTTTTTTTGAAGGCACTCTCAAGAGCTCCTGCACTAGCATACAGTGCAGTCCACCTCTGAAATACAGTCCCATCAGATTGTTTAATGGCTAAGTCATGTTAGCTATTTGCTTCAAGTGATTGCACTGAGGTGGCAAACATAGTAACAGGGCATCCCAACAGAAGCAGTGTGGTCAAGAAGGAAGTGAAGTTATAAAACCTCACTCCTAAATTCTCCCTGATCAGCAGGAAGGACTGGAAAAAGCTAGCAACTTGACATTTTTTATTCCACCGTTCTTTGGAAAATTAGGTTTGTATCTGTCTCCATTTACTTACTGGTGAAGAATCACAAATCTAAGTAAGGAGAAATTGGAAAAACTCTGCCTGACCACTTCCATTTTCTACTTTACTTATATTCAGAACATGTGTCTCTCAAAAACTTTTCTCCTTATTCTTCCTTTCCAACCTTCACTGCCTTTGTTCAGGCAGAACCAACTTCCACTGGGACCAACTTCCATTGGGACAAGACACATTAAAAACTGCAAGTAGACAGAGCTCACATGCCCTCTCCATTTCAATTTCTGCTATAACTCCTTCCTTTATCCACCTTAGAAAAATAAAATCAACACTAAACACATAACTTATTTTAAATTATTTTAAAAAGTCTTAAAAAAAAAAAGGAGAAAGACTGTCAATTTAAAT